ACAAGTGAATCCACAACAAAACACTTAGGTACCATAAACCCATTTTAAAGTTTTTCATTAACTTGTTAGTCATTTTACTTTTGACTTAAGAAAAACCAGTACTGCTAATTGGAAAAGCTGTTCAAAGTATCCCCTTATTCTCACCAAGTGAACAGCAGGCTCATCCCTTTAAAATAGATAGATATATTAGGATTCCTCTAATTAAAATTTAGATCCCTATAGAATTATATAAGTATCATTCTTTATTGAGATCCATAAGAACTAATACCTATATACTTGAGATTTTCTTTTAGTAATCATGAGACGGCTGCTGCTGAACATCAGCTGATGATTAACTCTGCTTGCTGGAACTGTTTCCCAAAACCGCACTCCTTGAAGTTCCCAAGAACCTGCTTTCATCAATCAAACAATTGTTGAACTGTATCAATGATTAATAGACCTGCCCTTAATCAAACCCTGAATGAAATTTATGCTCCCTGATGTTAAAATTTTATGAATTGATAACTAGAACACATAGCCTCTCCCCCATTCACTTGCATGTATCACGTTTTCAATAAAAAGGCACGATGATTCCTAGCAGTAGTCACTCTCCAGAGAGCAATCTCTGAGGGTGTCCGACTGAGGACATGCACAAAAAAGGCACCAGGCCTCAGTCTTTCTTCCCAGCACTGCCTCCGACGAGTCAACACACCCCCACCGAGGCTGGTCCCCGGCAGAGATTGGACTGTGGCATGGCCATCCCCCCTGGGGGGGGAGGTGATTTCTCACTTTCTATCTCTCTGTCTCTGTCTTTCTGGTGAGCGCATGCATCCTATAGCATAAACCTCTCTAAAAAAAAAAAGAAAAAAAATAGTAAGTTTTTGTCATTTATTTTACTCCCATATTGGCCTAGTCATTCTTCAGACTGACTTCATTCTGCAGTATTTTTACTCTCTCCTCCAAACACCTTTCCTTCCGATGTCCTAGAGGAAATGGATACTCGCAACTACCATGGTGCAATTAATCACAAAATTATTTAACACGTAAAGACACTATGTGTGTCCAAGCCACTCCTACAGAACTGTTTTCCAGGAAGAGAATTCTAATTACACCTGGCACACCCAAGAGCCCAGCATCACAGTCAAACAGGAACCCAGAATGTGCCAGAAAGAAGAGCACATATATGAGAGTGGAGTGGCCATGCACACACAGCCACAGTGCGAGCGCCTTCAGAAGGCCTTCCAGGGGCCTTCTAGGGTCACTCCATGGTGACGACAAGGAGCCCAGGGCAGTGATGTCTGGGAGCTGGAGCCCGACCACCCTGTGACATCTGCTGTGCACTGTGTGGTCGCGCTCACGCCGCGTGGCATGCAGCTTCAATGCGGGAATGGTGGGGACTACCCTACGGGACGGTGCAGAACCTCGTCTGCTTCTTTTCCCACATGTAAGACAGAACTGCTGCTCTGCAATACAGCCTGAGCACAGTGGCCCACACATGGGTCAGTGTCTGAGATAAGAAGCCTAGTGGGTTAGTCAGAGTAAGCGGCTGTATACTACTTTCTTGCCTAGTAGGTGTGGCTGCAAACTTAAACTCTATCATAAAGCTTAGGCACAGTCTTAAAGTACTTGTACATCTGAAGAGATGATGAACACCAGTTTTTGCTTTAAAGTGAAATAGTAAAATTTCCATAAATTATTATTTTTTTCCATATGATTTGTGCTGAATTTACAGTAAGAAGGAATAAATGTCTATCAATACTAACGTGTACTGCTTTTTTCAATTCAAAACTAAAAATTGAAGTAATATGGTATTTTATAAAATTAATCCAAAATCTTAGCAGGTGCATGCAATCTCGTGAAGTTAAATACAAATATTAATAATAACACATAAGTTTTTAATGACCTAAATTCAAACTTGAGAAGTATGCTTTATGTTATGAAAGTAAATAGCTATTTCTATTAAAATATTTCTCACGTAAATACATGTTCACCTCCTGGACAGCGAGATGACATGCACTGTGCGACCCAGGTTATTGGTACCCCAACCACAGTAAGGAGATGGTGCTGTCATTCTCTAAGTATGCAAATTACGTCTCCTTAATTCGTAGCTAGTAACGTTAACTTAGATTTTTCTTCAAACAGCTAATACGTGAAGATAATCCAGCACGTTAAGTCCGTCCCAGAAGGAGAAATTGTGCAGGAAACGCAGTCAGGGTCTGCTGTGTCCCTTGACATTGCTCAGCTCCAAAGCAGGTGCCAGATCCCTGCCTCAATGCGCTCGAGTGTGTGGGGCAGCCGAAGGACAGGGCTGACAGGACTCGTGCTCTGGGCAGTATCACAGCAGGGTCACAGAGAACTTGAGGACCAATGGGTGACAATTAGCCTGAGCTATGCAAGTCCCAGGGGCAGACCTCAGTGACATTCTGACAGGACAAGACGGGCCTCAAACGGTGTCACGGCATCCTCAGAGCGAGGGGCGTCATCGCACACGTGGGGAGGAGAAAATTTAGAATCAGTGACAAACACCTTTCTTCTCTTACTCTTTAAGTAAAATAGGATAACATGCAAGTAAATAGACAATGATTTAAAGAAACAAATTTTCAGTGGCATGTTGGCCAGCAGATGGCGTAGTGGTTAAGGCACTGGACTCCACTCAGCAGCGTGAGACTCATGCCAGGCATGTGTGTGCCCAAAATGCCAGGAGAACAGAGGAGGAACGACTGCAGCATGGCCATCCCTCCAGGGGGTGATTTCTTGCTTTTCCTTCTCACTGGCTCTGCCTATCCAGCAAGTGTACACGCCCAGTGGCAAAACCTTTAAAAAAAAAAAAAAAGAAAAAGTCCTTCTATTCTTACTCCTAGCTTCTTTCTTTGTCATGACTCTGAAACAGCTAATAATTATACATTTCTACGGAAACATCTATTCTGCTCCCCCTGGCAGGATCAAGACACCGTGGTATCGTCCCAAGGAACTGCCAAGTTAAAACTCATACCAATTAATTCATTGATAAATCACAGCTAGGAGATTTTCTCCTGAATTATTTTTTTTTACTTACCATCAGGATTTCGATCTATCCATTGGAGACAATAAAAAAAAGGGAGAAGAAAGAATGTAACAAATTATTGGTGGTAAAAGTTACAAAACAAATTAAATACAAATCTGCTTAAAAATAAAAACTGAAGAAGTAAAGATCCGTGATCTAGCAAAACAGCTAAGGAGACTCGATATGGAAATGATGTTGAGGGCATTAAATGAAAAAGAAGCTTAGCGACAGGTCAAAACATAGTATAAACGTTTCTAGTTACTCTTGCTTAAAATGATCTGAATAGATACTACTATAAATAATACCTTCTGTTTTTAGCTTGTCTTAGTATTCTTTTATTTTTCCTTTTAAATATTAATTTCCAATTCACTTTCAACCAACGATTACCTGTGCTTGCTGGTACAATCTTTTCAATTCTGTCTAGAAACATCCAAGAGCCAAAAATCGATGTGTACCCAGAGTTCACGGGCTGATTTTATACTCTGCAGTGCATTTTTAAGCATTGTGCCCACTTTCCATGACCCGTTTCCCTATTTTAAATTTATTTTCAACCAGTACCTTTACTCTTCCTTGAAGAGAAATGAAATGGCGAACTGCTGCCTCAGTGCCCTCCACACCAGTGTGTTCCACAGAGCAGGAGGGGACACATGTGATTACTGAGATGCTCAGTGAGGGATGAAGGAGCTCCGTACCTTAGCCAACTGCTCGTAACTTCTGCACTTCTCAATTCAAATTAAACTAACACTGAAAAATCTCAACACTTCAGAAATATCCAACTGAAAGTTAATTATGCCTTAGCCCTTAAGGGAGGCTTGGTGTCTTTATGAAGCCAGCTTAATCAAGGCCATTTAAACATAAAAATGTCTTACACAGCCCCAAAATTTGAAAATACGATAAATAGATAAGGTGGTCACTTCTGCTTAAAAAAGAATTTTTAAAATGACTTAAAGCGAAACTATCTAGAGCAGAATAGATTTTTAAAACATACTTACATTACGTTAGTAAAACCATATCAGAGTATATGAGTTGTCAATGAATAAGCCAAAAAATTACTTAGACAAGGAAAAACTACAATTACAAAAGTCATTGCAAAATAAGCAAACCAAGCACAAATAGAGGGAAAAATAAAGATGAATGAAGCATTTTTAAAACCAATAAAACTATACAGAACATTTAAAAACCCCAATAAAATGTTGCTGAAATATCCTGTCATCAGCTACATGTAAAGTTTTGTTTAGGGACCAGCAGATGGCATAATGCTTACATCGCTGGACTCCCACATAGTTGACCGTGGTTCGAGTCCCAGACCCAGAGGCTTGAAACTCATGATGGCGCATGTGTGTGTTCCCAAAATCCCAAGAGGAGAATGGAGGAAAAGGGACCGCAGGCTGGCCATCCCCTCTGGGGGTGATTTCTCGCTTTCTGTCTCTCTGTCTCTCCATCTCTCTGTCTCCTGGTGAGCATGCACACTCTATAGCAAAAATCTCTCTCAAAAATAAAGAAAGAAAAAAAGTTTTGTTTAAAAAAAAATCAATGACTACTAATTCTTATTTTCTACCTGTCGACTGATTGTCAAACTATTACCAGCGGTTGGCATAATGGCTATGTCGCTGGACTCCCACGTAGTCGACCGCGGTTCGAGTCCCGGACCCAGTGGCTTAAACTCACGCCGGATGCGTGTGCGTGAGTGCCCAAGACCCCAAGAGGAAAACGGAGGAGAAGGGACTGCAGCGTGACCATCCCCCCTGGGCAGTGATTTCTCGCTTTGTGTCTCTCTGTCTCTCTATGTCTGTCTGGCGAGCGCACACGCCCTATAGCAAAGAAACCTCTCCAAAAAAAGAAAAAAAATAGTAACGAGATGTGTGCCCTATATCTATAATAAAAAGAAAATGACAAAAAAAAAAGAAAAAGAAATTACTATACAGGATAGAAGAAAGAAAACTAGCAAAAATTAGACTCAACTGTAAGTTGAAATTTACAATAAATGAATTTCACCTGGTCTAAAGTCAAGCTTTTAAAATTAAAAAAATAAAACTTTCTCAAACACATACAGACTAAATTTTAACATGTGTTCTTAAATATTTGAACATGTAAGACACCAGAGACTTTTCCTCAATCACTAAAACGATACCTAAAACTGAACACTACCAGGGCCAGCAGGTGGCCCACCGCAGTTCAAGTCCCAGACTCGATGGCTTATTTCTCACTTTCCCTCTCTCTGTCTCTCTCTGGTCAAAATGTTTTTTTAAAAATGGGAACCAGCAGTTAGCATAATGGCTATGTCGCTGGATTCCCACGTAGTCGACCGCGGTCCGCGTCCCAGACCCGGTGGCTTAAAACTCACGCCGGGCACATGTGCGTGCATGCCCAAGATCCCGAGAGGAGAATGGAGGAGAAGGGATTGCAGGGTGACCATCCCCCCTGGGGGGGTGATTTCTCGCTTTCTGTCTCTATGTCTGTCTGTCTGGCGAGCGCACGCGCCCTATAGCGAAAAAACCTCTCCAAAAAAAAAAAAGAAGAATAAAAAAATTTTTAAAAAAATAATAATGATTAATAAAATTAAGTAATGTAATTGCTGAGAAAAAAAAAAACTGAATACTGTCTGAGTTTTAGATTTATCCACATACTCTTTCTTCTTAATACAGGCCAGCCTTTCCTTAAGTTTAAATAAATTAAACCTAACTAGGTAACATTCTTTCAGGGAGGAAAAACATGTATGATTTGCCATTAACTGAAGAGAAAACATTATATATGGAAATCAACTCAAAAGACCTACACATAAAAATAACTAAAACATCATTTTTGAATGGTAGAAAAGAATATTTTTATCTAATTATATTTATGGTACATCTTGCTGTCTTAAACATTTAACCCTTTAAGTTACTGGAGCTCTGAGTAGATCAGCCCTGACCTCACAGCTCTCCGACCTCCAGACGGAAAGGACTGACAGGTCTGAATGGCGAACCCGTACTCTTACCTGTTGGTCTGGAGTAGGAGACCACGGCGGCCCCTTCCAGTTCAGACGGGGGGGAGCTCCTTTTCAGATAAACAGAGAAGGCGGCTGTCTCTGTCATGTCCGGTGCTGAAAGCAACGAGAAAGCCATGCCAGTTACCGTGGGGCCGGCTGGGGCACGGCCAGCGCTCGCCAGGTGCCCTGAGATTTCGCCTAGGCCCCCATGGGTGTCCTGTGTGGACTCACTTCCTAGCGAAGTCGCGCACCAGTTCTGAAAGCAGACGCTGTTCCCCCTGACGGCACATGAGCTGCAGAGCAGTCTGCAGAAAGCTGGGCTGTGGCTCCCACAACCGCCCGAGTGAACACCCGGGGCCCCGGCAGCCTGCACAGCACAGCCTGTCCCCCGTCCAAGGACGAGCGGGGGTGACGCATCGCCATGCAGGGACCATGGGCGTCTGTCTCTCTTATCTCAGTGAAGAAATAAATAAACTTTAAAGATCATTTTTAGAAAAAGTAGCCTGCCCAAGGTTAAACAGCAAGAGGACACGGGGCTCAGGTGCGGCCGGGCCCCACTCCAAAGTCAGTGTTCTCTCTCCGGTCGTTACTGACTCAATACACAGGTCAGAAGAGGAAAAGCAGTGAAGAAAGTGTTCCAGATCAGGAGATCTAAATGTAATTAGAGGCCCATACCTAAGGAAAGCACTTAGAAATCTGTAGTGCTACAAACACGATCAGAGGGAAAACATGAACAAGACCGTACAATCTGGGAGCCAGAAACATAGCCTCGAAATGGGAGATTACCTTTATAACTTAGTCTCACGTTATGATAGACTGCAATCTAAAGCAAAATACCTACCCGTAAATTCAAAAGTGAACTGATCACAAGTCAACACCAATGGTGGCTGCACACAGACTGACAAGCGGGCTTTCTGCAGCACCACTCGGTTCTGGAGCGTGACCTAGGGGAACGGAGAGTATTAACAGAAAAGCACATCCCAGCCAGATCAGCAAGTAACTACAGAGCATCCCTGAGGGAAAAGGAGTACTCACAAAACGCAGCAACAGCACTAGCATATTAAAGTTTTCTGGGACCAGCAGATGGTGTAATGGCTGTCGCTGGACTCCCATGTAGTCGACTATGGTTCGAGTCCCAGACCTGGTGGCTTAAACTCACTCCGGGCATGTGTGCATGCGTGCCCAAGATCCCGAGAAGAGAATGGAGGAGAAGGGACTGCGGTGTGGCCATCCCCACTGGGGGGTCATTTCTCACTTTCTGTCTCTCTGTCTCTCTCTGTCTTTCTGGCAAGCGCACGCACCCTATAGCGCAAAAAAAAAAAAAAAAGTTTTCTACCCAGGGACCAGCAGGTGGTATGGTGGTTAAGGTGCAGAACTCCTACAAGGCTGACTAGGGTTCGAGTCCCAGATCTGGCAGCTTGAAAATCACACCAGGCACACATATGTGTGTGCCCCAAATCCTAGGAGGAGAATGGAAGAGAAGGACATGCATCACAGCCATCCCCTCTCGGGCGTGCTTTCTCACTTCTTTGTCTTCTGCGAGCACAAAAACCTTTGAAGAAAAGAAACATTCTACCCAACGAGAAACTGGCAAAGGAGTTGAATGGACTTTCCTCTGTGGCAGACAGAAAGACCGTCAGCGGCACATGAAGGGTGCTCAGTGTCTCAGTTGCTAAGGAAACACAGACTAAAACCACAGTGAGGTCTCAGGCTATCCACCGGTAATCTCAAAATCCGAAATCCAAAATGTTCTAAAATCTGAACTTTGTTGAGTGCTAGCATGACGCCCTAAGTGGAAAATTTCACATCTGACCTCGTGGGGCAGACAGGTCGCAGTCGAAATGCTGGACTGCGGAAGCGCTGTGCCAGACCACCTCTAGGCTCTGTCTGTGAGGCACACGTGAAAATGACTTCACGGGACCAGCAGTGGGCATAATGGCTATGTCGCTGGACTCCCATGTAGTCGACCGTGGTTTGAGTCCCAGACCCAGTGGCTTAAACTCACGCCGGGAGTGTGTGCGTGCATGCCCAAGATCCCAAGAGGAGAATGGAGGAGAAGGGATTGCGGCGTGGCCATCCCCCCTGAGGGGTGATTTCTCACTTTCTGTCTCTCTCTCTGTCTTTCTGGTGAGCGCACGTGCCCTATAGCAAAAACCTCTCCAAAATAAAGAAAAAGAAAAATGATTTCTCATGTGGGCTTAGGTTCCATCCCCAGCATATCTCACTGTGTGTACACAAATATCCCAAAATATTTAAAAAAAAAAAATCTGAGCCACTTGTGACCCCTAGCATTTCAGATGAGGGATGTCCATCAATCTCATACCCACTGACCCTTTCTCACTAAAACAAACTCTGGGCTGCTGCTTCCTGACAGGGTACCCTCAGCCTGCTGCAAAGCACTTCTCCCCAACTCACCCATAAATGACTGCGCTTAACCCCAAGGGCAGCCGGAGCTTCAGTGCTGACTCCATGCCCCACTAGCGGATGAAGGAGTTCTCCTATCCTCCCCGGATAGCTGCGTGTTCCTTCCTCAGCGTCTGTTTTCCCACACCGGTCTCTGCTATCCCTCCAGGTCTGTCCCTACAGCCCCAGTCTCTCTGGCCATCACTCCAGGTCTGTCATCTGACATCACCCGTGTGGCTGGTGGTGGAGCACAGCCCCTGCTGAGGGCACCACGGGTCACGCTCTGCTCTGTGGCTCCTGATCGGCGGGGGGGTCTGGAGAGGACCACTCTTCCGGTGGCTGCTCTGCATGGGGCAGCTCTGTGCAGTCACTGGACACACGTCACAACCAACTGACCCAGAGTAAGAACATTCTTTTTTTCTCTTTTGGAGAGGTTTTTGCTATAGGGCGTGTGCGCTCACCAGAAACACAGAGAGACAGAGAGACAGAAAGCGAGAAATCACCCCCCGGGGGGATGGCCACACCACAATCCCTTCTCCTCCATTCTCCTCTCGGGATCTTGGGCACGCACGCACACACGCCCGGTGTGAGTTTAAGCCCCCAGGTCTGGGACTCAAACCACAGTGGACTACATGGGAGTCCAGTGATGTAGCCATTACGCCGACTGCTGGTCCCAAGGACATTCTTCTTTTGAACAGAAGTAGTTTTGAATTTTCTCTTAGGTAAAAGTGTGCATCACCTACCCCTTAACGATACACACAATACACACACCAACGCAGACAAGTAACACCCAGAAAGGAACAACCGGCTGCGGACGTCACACACGCAGCTGACTCATGTCTCGTATAGCTCAGGTGCTGTGCATACTCTACGTGATGTAAAAGTCAGTCAAACAGGGCCAGCAGTGGCATGGCGGTTAAGGCACTGGATCCTCACAGGGCCAAGCGCGGCTCTATTCCCGGACCCGACAGCTTAGAAATCACGGGTGATTTCTGAGCGTGGGTGCATGCGTGCCTCAAATCCCGAGAGAATGCGGAAGGGACTGGCCATGCCCCACCGGGTGGGGAGATTTCTCACTTCCTCTCACTGTCTCCCTCCTGCGAGCACACGTGCCCTATGGCAAAACCTAAAAAATAAAAAAGTTTTGGCCTGCAGGGTGAAACTGTTAAAAGACTGCTACTGAGGTAGGTGAACAGGGTAGACAGCAGAGCCCACGTATCCTCGGTCTTTACTTTGTACAGCCTGGGGCGACCTGGGAGGGGTAGCCCGTCGCCATGGAAACTTCCTCCAGGATGTCCGACCACGCAGGACGTGACACCCTCCCGGGACCCCTCCACCGTCATGATGGCAACTGCAGCGAGAAGGCCCACAGACAGGTGGGTTTTCAAAGACCGGTCCACCGAACACAGCACAGGACGCCACGTCTCACAGTGACAGTAACACAGCGCTAGTCTGTGTGTGCGTTTAAAGAGAAACCGCGAACGTTACCGAGAATAACAGCAAGCAGCTTCCCATCCTCAGGGAGGTGTGCTAATACAGTACTCACGTGCACTCTCACTTCTCTCTCCCACACGTGAGGCGAGAGCTCCCTGCAGCCCTTACAGGGCAGAGAGCTGGCTCACAGAGGGCATGACCCGCCCTGGCCACCCTGACTGGGACCAGAGGACCTGGCCTAACTGCCACTGCTGGGAACCAGAACCCGCGCTGTCACCCAGCTACGATGAAGTCTCCAAATACCTTGGCAAAGAGTAAAGTATTCCTGTTTTACACTCTGAAAAACAGGGCTGAGGGTGGAGAGCGCGGCCTACCCATCCCCGTCTCAGTCTAGAACAGGGCTGAGGGTGGAGAGCGCGGCCTTCCCATCCCGGTCTCAGTCTAGAACAGGGCTGAGGGTGGAGAGCGCGCTCTAAGCCCACTGAGCCACTAAGTGCTGAGAGCTGAGAGCCGTGAGCAGGAACGTCTTGTGCTTGTTAAACTGCAGATGAGGATTCCTTAAAGCAGCAGCAGCTGTGAAAGAGCAGACTCCTGCCTCTGCCTGGTGTGAGGGTTCCAGGGGACAGCAGCCCCACGGTGTTAGTGGTTACGGGGCGTTTGCGTTTGGTTTGTACCCTCCGCCGTGGCAGTCTGTGGACACAGATTAACTGAACCACAGCCACGGGCGACGCACCCCCACTCAGAGCAAGGAGACGTGAGGTGGAAACAACTGCAGTGACAAAGAGTAGCTGTGTTTGAGCCAAAAGAGTCAACGTCTTGGCTAGATCGTAGATCGTAAGCCTTACATTTTCAGAGGAAAGTAATTATAGAATATTAAGGAGAAAACATAAAGTGTTAATACAAAAATTTTCCATGCTGTTTTCCACTTCTAATGAAATGAAATATAATCCTTAGGAAATAGAAACCGGATTTCTATTCTGGATATACAAATATGAGTCCGAAGCCCGGGTCTGAGAGCCACTGAACAGACGGCCACACGTCGTGCACACACTCAGGGCCGCCACATCTTCAAGCCCTTGGAACAGACAGAAACTATTCTCAATTAATAGCATTTATTATGATGGAAACTGGCATGCTTATATATCTTGGCTGCTGTTGCTATAAAAAGGCCATAAGGAGAGATTTATAGCCAAAATGTGTAAGAAGCCGTCAGATGGGACAGGGCATGGCTATGTGCTGTGGGTCCTGCTGGGCCGCGGCCGGCGCTGGGCTCCCCGTCACGCTCTCCGGACAGCAACGGCGGTCCCGACAGCGAAGGCGCTCCAGTAGTGCCACACCCCTGCTTTGAAGTGGCTATCACATATAAAAACCTAGGAAGCATGTGGGAATGAAGGGTGTGCTTCCCCTTCCCGGGCAACGTGACCCGGTCAGGCGCGAGGTCGCTGCATCGCGTGTCCCTGACTGGACAGGACCAGCAGGCAGGTGCACATGTGGCTTCCAGACGCAGAAGCAGAGATCGCTCCTGAAACTCCATAGTTACTGTCTCAAGAGTTTGGTTTCTTGCCACTTAGCCTTTCACCAGACAACGGTGAAGGAGACTGGGGAAAGACCACCCTTATTTCCAACGGCAAGAATCCAAATAAATGAGCTCAGGAGACCGTTACAAGATTGGGCTCCTTAATGTCAACCCAAGGGCTCCACACTCGGACTCCCGCTGGGCCCAGCATCGGTGAACAGTCAGGAACACCTGGTGCCGTCAAGCCCCTCCAAGGACAGCAGCCCACAGTCTGAGAAAACCTCGTCCAAGTTTGATTCAGTGAGTCGCCAAAACCCACAACTTTCTCCGGCTCCCCAGGTCCGAGCAGGGATATGTATTCCCAGTGTGGTAACCTGCTGACTGGAGACCACACTTCAACCGAAATTCCTCAGGAGGGTTCTACTGAGTTCTAGCTCTAACGTTCTACACTGGCAGGACTTACAGCCCTAACCAAGGCCGCATCTTCGCACCGTTTTAACTCCCGTGTGTGGCTCCGTTCACTACTGCGTTCTATAGATACATCCATTCACGGCAATTTCACGGCAAATGACTAGAAATTCTTTTCGCGCACACAAAGCCACGCACAGAGGAGATGCTGGCCCACGGGGCTCCCCAGCGTCACCTCTGAGCGCACCACGCGCGACCACATAGCTGGCCTGTCCACAGGGAATGGTGACCACACGATCTCTTCAGTAGGGTTAAAATGTCACCTTTATTTCTAGGAAAGCAGATCCTGGATTATGCTACACATTTCAATACTTGTAGGAACAGGTCGTAACAATGTCGCAGTCAACACATATTGCTATAAATGCAATAATCAGTTTCACATTTGCAAGTAACGATGGAGCTTTTTATTCACTCCCCAAGATTTTGGGAAATCAACAAATGTAAGTGTTCGCATTTCCAAAAGCGTCTCACAAAGTAACAAAGTGACCCGTTCACGATCGCGACGTGGTACAGTACCTTCACTGTGACAGAGGGGACACGGTCAGCGCCTGCTTCGCCATCAGGAGCTTGCTGTAAACACAGAAGTGAGACAAGAAGGCACGAAGGAGTGACGTTAATGTCACGTGGCATGTCGCATGGTGCCACACAAACAGAGCCCACCAGGACAGATTTATCCCGCATCACTGAAACAGCCAGTTCTTTGTAACTTTGGAAAGTTACAAAAAACTTCTTCTGGAAAGTTACAAGCTGATGTTCAAACACCCTCTCTTCAAGAAAGTAAAGGTGGGACCAGCAGTTGGCTTAATGGCTATGTCGCTGGACTCCCACGTAGTCGATCGCGGTTCGCGTCCCGGACCCGGTGGCTTAAAACTCATGCCAGGTGCATGTGCGTGCGTGCCCAAGATCCCGCGAGGAGAATGGAGGAGAAGGAATTGCAGTGTGGCCATCCCCCCGGGTGGGTTTTTTCTCGCTTTCTGTCTCTCTGTCTCTGTCTGTCTGTCTGGTGAGCGAACGTGCCCTACAGCAAAAACCTCACCAAAAAAAAAAAAAAGAAAGTAAAGGTGGGACCAGCAGTTGGCTTAATGGCTATGTCGCTGGACTCCCACGTAGTCGATCGCGGTTCGCGTCCCGGACCCGGTGGCTTAAAACTCATGCCAGGTGCATGTGCGTGCGTGCCCAAGATCCCGCGAGGAGAATGGAGGAGAAGGAATTGCAGTGTGGCCATCCCCCCGGGTGGGTTTTTTCTCGCTTTCTGTCTCTCTGTCTCTGTCTGTCTGTCTGGTGAGCGAACGTGCCCTACAGCAAAAACCTCACCAAAAAAAAAAAAAAACGCTCAAAAAAAAAAAAAAACGCTCAAAAAAAAAAAAAAAGAAAGTAAAGGTGAACTATTGTAACTACTCTGTTTGCACATTTTCTTAAATGTTAAAAGCGTTAACTGACTTGTTCTTTGTATTGTGTAGAAGAGCTCCTGTATTTCCCAGATAAACGTGTCGTTCTTCTCAGCCCTGATCTTAATAAAATGAGGTTTGTTTTCCTTAATCACACATAATCAATGCTATGGAGATAGATGGCCTCACACCTAGAACGGAGCGTGGACACACTGTTGTGTTGGTGCATGTTATAAACGGAGACATGCTGTGAGTGTCAGTACAGGCCACCCTGGCCTCCACCTCAAGGAACTCAGGGGTAATATAAAAAAAACATTTCCTTCTAACTGATTTTTCAGAGTGGTACACTGAAGGAAAAAATGCTCACTCAACAACAGAGTAAGACCACGGAGTGACACATTCTCTGATAATGCCTGCATGAAATCTTGGAGAACGAGGCCATGTCAGAATGAACCAGATCAGATTCGCTGTCCTTTAATAACTGAGATATTTTTAACTAAGAAAACTCCGCCTCTTCTCGGCACAGGGGGGCACATGAGCGCATCGGCAGAAGTCGAAGGGGAGATCCGGGCTCTAGACCGACGTTCGGCACGCACGACAGAAGCTGGCCACGGCCTCTTGCTGCCCCAACCACTCAGCAAAGGAGACCCTACGGTGACTCCCAATTTGCAGACCAGAAAATCGAGTCCAAGAAAATTAAAGTACCTCGCCTTGGTTCACACGGAGAGAAGTAGGGGCAGAAAGAATTCCTGGACCTACCACCTACTCTTCAATTGCACCTCCATCTAATAAAGAGCATAACTGAGCCTGGCTAGGCCGTGCGCAGACACTCTCTAACAGCCTCCCACATAAATCGTGAGGGTATTATTCATCTGGACTGGGGTTATGTCTATACAAGAGAACTGAGAACGTTTTGTTTTTTAAGTTAGGTCCAGTACTAATAACAGGCAAGAACCTCCCTGCCCTAACACTGCTTTTCTAAAGTTTTCTAATCCTGCCCAAGAAACTCCTGGACTATTCTAATCAAGGAAGTACGAAAGCCTACAAACGTGTTATTCTCCTCGGCGTTTCTGACAGCCCAGAATTTAAACCAGTACCTTCTGACCCCAATTCATCAGTCCACCACTATCACAAACCCTTTTCAATATGCACGTATACCTACAGACACAGAATCGAAGTCAGGAGAGACCACAGCAGAAACTTTCAAGTCATCTTCTCTCTCAGCCACAGGCCAAACACCTGTAATTAAAAAGAAAAAAAGGGATATTTGTCATAAAGTAAAACCTATGTAGTTTCTCTTTAAAGGGTTACCTACATGTGAGAAATAACCCCACAAACAGACTCACAGGGGACGAAACCCTGCCTCACAGGACCTGCCGCTCCTTCTCCCCGCAACACGGTGAAGGAGAATGCTTTCTCCAAAGACGCCAGCTAAGATGCGAGCAGCTGATGAACCACAATGGGAACTCTAATCTATTCCTAATTACCAGTGGAAGCTCAAATCGTAGAACCCTTTGAAGGTCAGTTGGCTATAATATAAAATATAAAATGTACGCGCCCGGTGACTTAATCCTACTCGCGAGAATTTATCTACTACTTGTAGACATTCCCAAAGAAGCTCTAGTCATTTTCTAACAAATAAATTTTAAAAAAACAAGTATATGAGACAGGCTGTGGCCATCCATGTCACTCAGGGGCCAAGACTGTTGAGTCTCGGCACAGCCCACCTGGCCACGCCGACACGTGGACACCCAGACGCCGCTGTTCAGGGAGAAGGCGCAGGGCAGTGCGGCCCGTGAGCGCTGTTCGTGTACACAGGAACTCCTGGTGAGGAATGGCTTTACGGAGTAGAACCGGGGTTGCCCCAGCCACTGTGGCCACTGTGGGATTCCGGGCCTGGTGCTGGAGAAACACGCTGGGCGTGCGCGTCTCAAGTCCCGACGGGAGGGAGAGCAGGGGGACTGCAGCAGGACCGCGCCCCGCGGGGGTGCTTCCTCCCTGTCCCACTCTCCTTTATCTCCCTGAGGAGCATGTGCATCCAATTTTTTTTTTTTAATTTAAAAAAGAAAGCAGAACTAGAATTTAGAATTTAAGGAAGGGAGATTTACCTTTCGTTGTTCACCTTTTTAGTACGGTTTGAGTGTTTCTCCTATACACGTGTTACTTCCCCAATTCTGAGCATGTTTACATTGCATGAGATACTCACAAGTAACAAAGATGCTAAATAAGCACAAGGAGCGTGCTGGCGTGCACGAGCGTGTGCATGTGTATGTGCGTGTGTGTGCAGCCTGAGGCCTCCTTCTGCTTCCTGCCTGCCCTGTCCTACCGCCGCAAGTGGCAGAGCCCTGACCTGGCTGAGCTCTCATCTCAGAGGAAGCTGCCTCCCAGGCCTCAGGGGCGAGCTCAGTGGTTCTGGCTGCCGACCTGCAGTCTCAGGCGTGAGCGGGGCAGGGGAGGGATCGGCACACAGGGGAGGGGCACAGGCCTCTGGGAGCACCCCTCCCTACAGGAGCATCGCCCTTCCCTGATGGTCACGCCTGCACGTGATCCCTGCACTGCTGAGGCCACCCTGGGACCTGACAGGGCATTCCCCACGCCAGGAGGACCGACTAGAAGCGGCCCACACAGGCCCCACTCCGCACAGAGCAGCTGCCACAGCGCCGTCCAGCACCCCACCTGCCGCAGCAGCCAGAATGAACTTCCACCCGGGCAGAGCATGTCCCTGCCCATCTGACAGCCATGCTGCAGCTCCCGACTGAGGCCAACCCTAACCTGAGCAGGAGAGAACTCCAGAGCCGTCCCCAGCCGTCACAGGTCTGTGTGGCCTGGGAGATGTAAGCAGAGCGCCGAGAGTGGCTTCCAGGGAAGCTCCAGGAGGGCTGACTCCTGCGGACGTGAGGCAGGCACTCCAGAGCCCGCCGGGAGATAGATGACCCTGGGGTAGAAGGGACGGAGCCTGATGGCTGTGGCCGCCACACCAGCCTCCGCCGGCGGGCACTAGGCCACATTGACGTGAGAAATAAACCTCCACCCAGCGTGAGCTGCCTCGTCTGGACCCTGTTGCATGCAGTTGAATATACCCCCAGGAACACGTCCCTGAGCACAAGGATCTCTGATACTCTTCAACCTCGTTATCACAAACACGCACACCCAGGACGCAGACTGCAGGGCCAGCTGCCCTCTCCCTCCCCCTGCGTTAACACTGCACCCAGCACTGCATGCCAGCCCCACAAGTACGCAATCCCTGTCCACCCGATGAGGAAGCCCGCTCTCTGTAAGTCCTACCAGGAGGCTGTAGGCCTGTGAACAAAAACACCGGACAGGGCTCCCGAGGAGTTGGTATAAAAAGCTTCAGAGTCCATGAGCCATACAGAAATTGTTACTATAATTTCATGCTTACAACAGACATTCCTTATATAATTTACACACACAAAATCAGCTTCAAAAACACTTTTATTACAGTGGTTAATACAGACCATGTGTACAACAAAATGTGCCCTTTAAATTGGCTTTAAATTTCGTTGCAACTCTTCCCTCAAAAAAAATTTTTAAAGCTTTAAATGCTAAACACAGCCCATGAGATTATGAACTGTTTTGCAAGTTAAAGCCACTATACTAAAATAACTGGCATTTAAATGAATAATGAGGTCATCAGAAAGTTCAGAGTCTCAACCTCACATAATCTTCTGTAATAATCTGGTCCTTTATATGATTACAAGTGTTCAAATAAACACCACAGTTTTCAAAAGGTACTGAACACTAAATTTTTTCTGTATCTAGAAACAAAATATTTTTAAAGACTCTTTTTCAAAAGGTTTCTCTTCATTTCTTTTTCAGAAATAAAACAAAATGAGGCATAAAAAGTTCAGAGGAGGACAGCAGATGCTGAAGTGGTTATGGCACTGGACTCCTACGTGGCCGCCTGAGGTTTGAGTCCCAAACCCAGCAGCTTAAAAGTCATGCCAGGCACATGTGTGTGCATGCCCAAGATCCTGGGAGGAGAATGGGAGAGAAGGGATTTCAGCAAGGCCATCCCCGGGGGGTGGGAGGTGACTCCTTGCTTCCCCTATCATTGTCTCTGTCTCTCTCCCCCTCTGGCAAGTGTGCATGCCCTAAGGCAAAAACCTCTTTACAAATTTTTTTTTAAATACAGGGAACTCCAAACGTTAACAAAATTTCAGGTTACCTAAATGAAGAACTTTGCAGTCATCTGTGGATACATCATAGCCTCATTGTAGTTATTTCTAGAAACACGAGGATCGAGGAGGTGACAAGGAGAGCAGCCTAACCATTCCCACCCAAGCACATCACTGAGGTTGCCAAGAAGTGATTCTACCATAGGAATTTTATATGAGATGTTATAGACAGTTCACATTAATTAAATATTATTATCACATTGCTTATGGAAAGGGAAAAATCTCAAGACCCAAAATTTGGAGTAAATAGTCACATTATTTAATGAACTCTGGAAATTTCATGTTTCGGAAACATGCCACTCCTTCCCAATTACCTTTCTAAATGACAAAATGAAACGGAATTCCATAAATTCTCAAAATAACAGTGCAGAAATTCTGTATGTTGGAAATGACAAATCCAATTTTAACCATTATTTATTTGACATAAGGGTACTGACAACAAAGAGGTTTTCTTAAATAACTGCAAGTACTGAGAAGATCCAAGTTTCGCTGGTTGACTTTAAAAACTTGTTAAAAGAATGTGTGAGGCCAAAGCATAATCACTTTATTTTAGTATTCATATTTAAAAATATGTTATCTCAGTTCCTAGATCCGGGGAAAGCCATCTTGGTGCCACGGATTTAAAATAGGTAAATATGGTGAAGTGACTGGACCGAGGTGAAGGCTGGGGCTGTGCTCGGTCGGCGTCTGAAGCTCTGCTTCTTTTATTACTCCTCCTCGTTTTAACACTTCTTCTATGTGAAAACAGTCCATATTTTTTCTCATTAAAGAATACTTTCACCTGACCCTGAAAAGAGAACTTGAAGTAATGCTTTTCACATGTTCAACTCACCGCAGGGCTGGTGTTTCGTTTCTCCTTCTAATTCACAAAAAAATTAGACCCCTGTGAGCCCCAAAGTAAGATAATATTGAGTTACTCAAAACTCGGGAACTGAAAATATCGCCAGCCCATGGCAGAGGCTGCCCTCCATTCGGGCTGCAGTGAGCTGCAAACTTGCGTCACTCGCGAAGCTGCAAGTGACTACAGTGTTCCAAAAAAAGTGGTAACTCATGAACTGCTTTAGTGTCTTTTAAAAGAAGCAACTGAAAGTTTCTCAAGGATATTGGAAGTTAATAAATGACCCCCTCTAAATTTCAATGCTCTTCTCAAGACCTCAAACCACTACCCAAAGAAGTATTGGGTTGTCAGAAAAGTCATGACACATTTTTGCATAAAAAACATAGAAAAATACATCGTGACTTTCCCAGCAACCCAGTATTCCTTCCTTTCTTAGTTTAAAGGAAAAAGATACAGTTATCTCTGAGACCCGTTCACGGAAGCATTATCTTCACACAGCATCTTGCTTCACACCTGATAACACGTAAGCACAAAGGCTTTGTGAGCTAAAGAGCAACACTGCTTTTATAAATGTGACTTTAAGCCTGGGGGAGGAAGATTAATCCCTACAACACATTATCTATAAGCAAGACAGCATGAATTTTATAAGAAATACAAAAATTAAATAATAAAAAGCTGCAATAAGGTACCTTGTGATCTGTTAACATCCCTGATGATTTTCTTAAGTTCTTTAAATTCTTCATCAAGCTCATCATAGTTGAGTTCTCTGGATTCAACTTTTGGGGCCTGGAACAGAGAAGGGTCTGTCCCCAGGTACGAGCACTGCAGGTGGCCGTCGTCACTCAGCGTGACCACCACTCCCTTTAAGTCACTGCAGTAAGGGCGAGAAAACAGACATACTTAGACAATTCCGTGGGTTTAATTTTAACCAACTACATTTTTACTTAATTCAGCTTGAACACAGCACTGAGAAACTGACTATGTAATACATCTGCATCTCTTTTTACTTCAAAGCCTCGATTCAATTGTTTCCACTAACATTTATATTCACTGAAGCTCTCCCAGTGCGAAGCTCCCTCACAGGACGGGGATCCCAGTGGTTGTAATAGCCACCACCGTCCGGGGACCTGAGCCCGGCGGGGCGCAGCGGGTCAGGACACAGCTGGGCTGGGGGGCTGGAGGCCGGGCCCAGGGCTAGACAGTGAGGAAGTGGCAGGGGGGG